TAGAGCAAGCCTGTAAAACACAATGGTGCTTGAAGCCTGCAGGCCTGGAGAACAAATAAAGCAGCTTACAGTTAGCAAAAAAAAGCAACCAGCAGTGAGCCTAGAAAGGCTGAAGTGAATATGCCTAGCAAAGCTAAAATAAATGAGCCTAGAAGGGCTAAAGAATTGAGCTTTGAAAGGCTGAAAACTTGAGCCTTCGAAGTGGCCAAAAGCAATGAGCTTATATAGAGCTGAAAAACAAAGAGCTTAAAAAGGCTTCAACATTGAGCCTGCAAAGGCTGAAAGATTGAGACTACAGAGATGCTACTAGATGTGAGCTTGGGAAAGCAAACAGCATGAAACCTTTGCTTAACATAAGCAAATACTTTGCAACAATCATCCAATGGCTAGTAAAGTAGCTATACAAGACTTGATCAGACTAATGCAAAAAGCACACGATTGTTTTTTTCAGCAAAGCTGTAGGTTGTCATTTCATTGTCTCTACAGACTGCACACCAGCATTTGGTCTCTGCATTGCTAGCCTCACATTGTTGTGGATCATGCACAATGCAAAGTGTGAATACAAAATTTTCAATGGAGCATTCAATCTTGGCAAAAACATGCAAACATAAAGCATCCCAGGCACTGTATTCAGAGATTGTGTCATAGTACCACTCAGAATGGTTTGCTCTCATCATCCATTGCAGCTGGCCATTGTGTCCATAGATCAAATGGTATAGCTCAGGTGAATCAATTTCAGGAGCTGGAAAGCCAAGCAAGTGCTCATGCAGTGCTCTGAACATCATGACTTGAGCTCTGTTTTGGTCGCCAAAGCTTTGCCAAGCATCATCAAGACCAATTCCTGTGAAGTAGCCACACATTAACCATGCTGGCACCCATTCTTGCCACCCATGAAGGAAAGTCCAGACCCACCAAATCCACCCTTGAGATGCAACAAAGTGCCCACTGATGATTGGGTCAGCATGGCTGGCTTTTGGAAGTAGAGGCATGACTGAATGTGTGATAGTAAATGCATTTGCAAATCTAATTTACAAATCTATTTGCTACTTATTGTAGGCTGTACAGCAACAAAACTTAATTTCACAAACATAAATATTGCTTTAGCTTTACTTTGACATACTATGTTTCAGAATTGCTAATATATGTGCCATTTGTAGTCTAGTATCACATCTAGTTTCATGTAGTTGTGAAAAATAACTATGAGTTCTGGAAACTAATCTGCAAAGACATACTGCAGCATACACAACTTCACAAACCAAATATCAAAATATAGTTAATAAATGTAGATATTAAAGTTTGCCAAATATAAGACTAACAGCATTGCTATTCTAATTTGAGACACAAATGTAGTTATTAATAGTTTTTAATGTTTTATCGAAATACTAAAATAAAAGTATATATATAATATTTTTGTTTGAACACAAATCATAAATATAGTTTTTATTTAATATTAAGAGTGCATTTAAATATATATATATATACAGTTTGTTTTGAATATAAACATATTAATGTTTTGTTTGTTTGGGGGGAAATTTTAGCAATTTTTTAAAAATCAATATAACTATTTTCTTTTATATGTAATTTAGTATCTAAAATGTACTTTTTTGCTTTTAATTTTCAATTTAGCCTATAAATTGAAATTTTGTTTTTTAAAATTTTCAATTTAGCCTATAAATTGAAATTTGTTTTTTCAATTTTCAATTTAGCCTATAAATTGAAATTTGTTTTTTTTCAATTTTCAATTTAGCCTATAAATTGAAATTTGGTGTCTTGAATTTTCAATTTAGCATCTAAATTGAAATATTGGTTCTTTAAATGTTGAATGTAATATTTAAATTCTAAAAATAATCTAACATATTCAAAAAATATGTTGATTAAAAATGTTAAACAAAGAAAATAGTATATCAAAGCTTAGAAAATCTATATCCTTTGTGAACGTGAAAAACTTAAACATTAAAGCTTACAAAGGTTAAATAATCTATGAGTCTAAAAAGACTTGAACATTTAAGCACACAAAGACTATATAATCTTTGAGCCTCACAAGACTTGACCATTGGAGCCTACAAAGGCTATATAGTTTGATAACATCAAAAAGCTTGAACATTGGAGCCTACAAAGGCTACACAAAGTGAAGAGCCTGTAAAGGCTGATACAGTGTAAAGTAAGACTCTTTTTTCCAGTCTCTCTTCTCCTTGGCTGTAGTCTCAAGTCATCCTACTTGGGCCATGGCAAATATCCAAGTATGTAAAAGGCAGTGATGCCAATGTGCTGGTACAATGAGATCAGAGGGTGTAGCTGTTCCTGTAGTGCAAACCACTGGGACATTGTTGAAAGTTGTTCTTGCATCCTTTGCCACTCACCAACTTGATGCAATGCAGTGAGAACAGCTAATTTGTTTTGGAAGCCGGTCTTCTTCTTCTCTGCCTGATTGTTGAACAAATGAAAACACTCAAAATGATATTGAACTTACAAAACCCAAAAATAAACACAATAACAAAAGTTATACAGATTTAAATATTCAATGTGAGTTGCATACCTAAAGGAATGCCATTGTCCTCTAATATCCTGCCAGTGAAAACCAGTCTGGTCCTTCACAAAACCATTTGGAGCTGAAGCAGTAGAGGTTGGCACAGCTTGTACTCCAACACCTCCCACACAGCCTTGCATCACTGGAGCCTGCTGTTGGAAGTAAGTTTGCTGCTGCGCATAGTTCACTGCCTGCTCATTCTGCACTGGTGTTGCCCAAGGAGGTAGGGTTGTAGGTTCAGGAACTCCTTGCTGCAAGACAGGTGATACAGGTGTCCAAACCGTGGGTGGCCTTGACAGCAAGCCAGCAGGAATTCCAGGTGGTACTCTGGCTTGCCATGGTGCCTGCAATCACATTGAAAACAACAATGAAATTATGATGGACTGCCCAACCAAAACAGCTGCCCAACTTAGTCTGTGATCAATTGAAGCCAAGTTGCTTGTCCAGCAGGAATTTGTGATTGCCCAGAGCCTGCAGCAGCACTTCCTGTAGCTGTAGATTGCATAGAGCCTTGTTGGTGGCTTGCCTTAGTGAGAAGTGGCCAAACCATCATGCAATCTACATTGAAAAACAGCTGCCCAACTAAAATGAGTTAAGCTACAAGTGCATTCTTCAGTCGATCCCACACTTCCTCTGGAGACAAAGTCCTGTAGTCCTCCTCATCCTCCTGCTTCACAGGTTGCTCAGCCATGACTCTTGGTTTTGGAAGAGGTCGAGGTCTCTTGTCGAGCTTTTGCTTCTTGGCACTAGTTGTAGGTGCTGGTTCTTCTTCAACTTCAACTAATACATGAGCTTCAGCTGGCCCAGTCCCAACAGGCTCTGCCAACTGTGCTACATCAGGAACTTCATCTGGAGGTTCCTGAAGTGAAGTGATATGACATTAATTGTTCTATATCTAGAACATATACAATATCATATTATGAAAGTCACACATTTGTTAACAAAAAGTTGCCCAAAAACAGCGAGACACAGTGGGAGCCCTTTGGTCCTACAAGGTTGGGCATAAACCTCTATGAGCTACAATAGTGACACCATATATCAGATATCAAAACAAAACCTTATTTCTGCAGTCCTCATACCAGTCTGCTTCATTTTGTTCATTCAATTCCATGGCCCACTCTTCATAGCTTGTGAAAGGCTTGTTCTCCCTTTGCCTCTTCATGGCAAACACAAATGCTTGCCAAGGCTAGCAGTACTTGAGCCTAAACAACATGGCTTGTTTTGAACCAATTACAAATTGTTTTACATTTACTAAAAACGCAAAGAACTTTTTGAAAAAAAACTCAAAACAAGCTAACCACAAAAAAACTTCCAAAAACTGTTATATCTGAGCCTGCAAAGGCTAATGGGGATGAGCCTGCAAAGGCTGATAGAAATAAACCTGCAAAGCCTGATGAAAATAAACGCGCAAGGGCTATTGGTAATGAGCCTGCAAGGGGTACTGGTAATGAGCTTGCAAAGGCTGATAAAAAAATAACCTATAAAGGTTAATGGGCATGGGCCTGTAAGGGCTACTAGTGATGAGCTTGCAAATGCTTTCATTGAAGAGAGCTTGGAAAAGCTTGTCCAAAACTGAGTCTGTAATGGTTTTTGGGCAAAAGCCTAGAATGGCTATTGTCTTAGAGCTTGAAAGGGCTCATGGGCTGAAGCTGGCCCTACCAAGGGCCAGTATTCAACAAACATCATTGCCCTTTTCACCTGGCAACTTCAACTTGTGTTTGAAGCCTACTTTGTCTTCTTTGTGTAGGCTCTCTTCTGTACATCTTTGAAGCAGCTTTCGCAATCAGCTTCCAAAAATTCAAAAACAGAAGTCAGCACGCTTGGGTCCAGCAAGACAGATACATCTTTCTCCTTGTAGGAGCTGGGCTTCAAGACTTCCACTTTGATGCCACCCACATCCAGCTGAAGAGTAGCAGGCCCATTGTCCAGCCTGGGCTTCTTCTTTGGCTGCTCATCCTTGAACAGTGCCTGCTCTTTTTCACCACCATCGTCCTGCTGGTTTGAAGATGCATTGGCCAAAGCTTCTTCCTGCTTCTTCCTGAGCAATGCAAAGCATTCACCTTTGCTGAGGCTTGGGTTCTTGCACTCTCTGTAGAGATCCAAATTGTGAGCAGCTAGCACTCTGCAAACAAATGGGTGGCTGGCTTGGAGTTTGAGAAACTTCTTGCCATCTGGGCCAGGAAGGATCAACACTTTTGGAACCACAGCTGCACACACATTCTTGTAAGACAGCACCACCCTCTCTGAGATGTCCACCATGAATGGCAAGACACTATAGAGGCACAGGCAGAGACTTGGGACAAAAGACTTGCTGCAAGAAAAAAGCATAGAGTAGAACGGCAAAAAGCTTTGCAGAAAATTCAGCCACTCATGGCTTTTCAAAGAGCTTCAAAAAGCTATGAATACTAGAGCCATTGAAAGCTTGCATATTCAACCTTCAAGCCAGCTTTTCCCAGCAGCAAGTCTTCAGGTCTCATGGTTTCTTCCTCTTCTTGGCTTCCTCTTGAAGCTCTACCCACAAAGGGGTCCCAATCTGCAAAGCCACCTTGTTCTTCAAGCAGGGGATGGTCAGGTCAAGGTTTTTGACAGTAGCCCTGACCAGGGTGGCCTTCTCAGTTGGCTGGGCAGCATCATCCTTGTCCTTCTCCTCTTTCATTTCTTTGCACCAGAAGAAAGGGCACCAATGGCCACTTTGCTTTTCAAAATTGCACTTGGAGTGTGACACCACCAAGGCATCATCAAATTTCCAACCAGCTAGCTGGAGCACCACAGAGCTTTTGGTGACTTTTTCTTTGGGCTGCAAAACTACATGGCCAAGTGGAATCAGCACCAAATCATTCTTGGAGAACTTGTTATTGGCAAAGAGCTGGTTGGTGTTTGAAACCACCAGATCAAAGTCACCCAGCCTGGGTGTGCAGGAAACACAGCAAACCTTAAAAGCAAAAACAAAAAACCTGTGTGCCCATAGGGCAACTTTCAATTTTGAAGCCAAAGAGCTCTTGGTATTTCTGGTACAGGAGATGCTGGGCCTTGGCCCTACCAAATTCAGCCATCATGCAAACACTGGGCTGTAAAGCATTCAAAGCTTCAGCTGGCTGCAAAGTAGGCATTGGCTTGGCCCACAACTTCAACCCCTTGAGGTCCTTGTGTTGTATCTCTTTTTTGTCAGGGGCTCCAAAGAATGGCTTGTGAAGGAGCACAGCTTTAGTGGCATCAATGCTTTCAAACTTGTAAACCTTCAAAGGTTCTGTGGCAAAGAAATAGTATTTGCCAACCTCAAGGTTCTTCAAGCTGGCCAGTGCAATTTTGGCTGGGTCTGCAGTAGCCTGGCAAAATGGTGGCATGCTTGCACCAGACCAAACCCAAGCATTTTGGACACCCCCTTGCCTCCAACCCACATGGCACTGATGCTTGCTGTGCAGAGGCACTGCTGGGTGCTGCTGGCTCTGTCACATCCATCTTACCATATTTCCCCATGCTCATCATTTCTGCAGTGAAAATGTCTGTGATTTCTTCCAGCTGTTTGTAGACCTTTGCCTCAGGGCCTTTGGCGCCCTTTCCAAGCAGAAACAAAGCAACCCTGGTCAAGTATCGACCCATAGGCTGGGCCTTTTGGTCCAAGGTCAAAGGGCTGCCTTGACACAATTGCCAAGCTTCCATCAATAGCTTTTCAGCAGCTGCCACTTGCACAGCCATTCCTTTCTGCTTCAATTTTGAAAAATCACTGGGGTTCACCAGCTTGGAAATGCCATCTCTGATGTATTGCTTGGAGGCACACATCTGACATGTAGCCAGCGCCAAGCGGATCCAAGGATAGGTGGTCTCTTTGGATTTGAAATCAGTGAAAGCAAGTAATTCAGTGAACTCCTGGCCCCAAACTGTTGAACCACCATACTGCTTGCCTTGGTGTGTGTGTGTGGGGGGGGGGCAATGGTGCATGGGTGAGAAAGAACAAATGAGCCTGCCATGGCTTGCAGTTGAGCTTCTCAAAGTTTGTCTATGAACTTGCTATATATATATATATATATATGTTTCTACACGACTTGCTGCTGAGAAACCGATGGATTGAAGCAACTTCAGAAGAGGGAATGCTTCTCCTCCAGTGTACTGCTTCACAAAGGCAGTAATGGCACCAATGTAGTTGCCACATGCTGGTCTAGAAGCCATAGCTGCTTGCTCTGCCTTCTTCAAATCCTTGGCATCAGCAGCCTGCAACTCATAGATGCTAGCAATGGTGCAAGCAGTTTCCAACTCATTGGATGCTGTTTTGACACCATGGTCAGAATTCAGAGCTTGGGCCAGGAACTGTGCCAACTCTGGGATGTGGGTTTCCACCTCTGATGATATGACCAGCCAGTCCCAGCCATCCATGCACATTTGCTTCAAATCATCTTTCTTCTGCATCATACTATCCAAGCTCAAAAAGCCATTGGTGCTTAGCTCAGCTTCTGAAGTTTTGCAGGAAGCCAGTACTGCTCTGAGGAAAGTAACCAAATGGCTGCTGGAAACTGAAGCAAACCTCTCACAACCCAATGGCCCACACAGCTGCTGGTTGGAGAGCTCAGCCAAAGATTTGTTTGCCTGCAGAACTTTTTCCTTTTCTGGCACAGAAGTTGGCAACTCAAAGCATACAGACTCACCAATCTTGGCCATTGAGAAGCCAATCTGTGCCATTGCAGCTCCTTTGGAATGAACATCACCCACTGAAACCAGCTGCCCTCCCCTGTTCTTGACATGAACCAGAATCATCTTGGGCTCAATGCTTTGCTTGTAGCAAAGTCCGTTCTGCTTCAAGACATCCAAAATCTTATTGCATCTGCTGGTGATGGGCAAGCTACTGTCCTGCTGCACCTTCAACACTTCATCTTTCCAAGTAGGACCAATCATGGCTTGGGGACACAAACTGGTGGAATGCTATCAGGTTGGAGGCCATTGCTATAGGATAGGTTTGAGGCCATTGCTAGCAGGCTGGAGGCCATTGCTAGAAGGGTTGGTCTTGCTGGCTTGCATTCAACATTTGTTGGTTTATTTTTTGGCCATACACAACAATGCTGTGGCTTCACCTGATGCTGATGGAAGCAGCAGCATGTTTCTGCTGATTGCCCCGCCACAAAAAATGCATACATTTCTTGCAACAAGAACAAACAAGAGCTTTCAAAAGCAGGTAGAACTTCAGAAGAACCTGTTTGAGCTAAAGGCCCTGAGCTTAATACAGCTTTTACAGGAAGCGAGCTTAATATAGCTGCAAGCAATTTCCTATGATTATTTTCTTCCTTGGTTGCTGCCTTTTCAACCACCAAACCCACAGTAGCAATGTAGATATGTGGCTTTATACAACATTTGCTGGCTCTTTGCAACTCATCAGTGGCTTTCTTTTAATAAACAAGATGGAGCCCACGAACCCGAATGCAAACACGTTCGAAAAGCTACATATGTCCAAATGACACTCTTGTAGGACACTCTTGTGGGACACTCTTGTAGGAAACTCTTGTGGGACACTCTTACGGGACACTCTTGTGGGACACTCTAGTAGGAAACTCTTGTGGGACACTCTTGTAGGAAGCTCTTGTGGGACGCTCTTGTAGGACACTCTTGTGGGACACTGTTGCGGGACACTCTTGTGGGACACTCTTAAGGGACACTGTTGCGGGACACTCTTGTGGGACACTCTTGTGGGACACTCTTGTGGGACACTCTTGTGGGACACTCTTGTGGGACACTCTTCTAAAACACTCTTCTAAAACACTCTTGTGGGACACTCTTGTGGGACACTCTTGTGGGACACTGTTGCGTGACACTCTTGCAGGACACTCTTAAGGGACGCTCTTGTGAGACACTCTTGCGGGACACTGTTGCGCGACACTCTTGTGGGACACTCCTGTGGGACACTCATTTGGGACACTCTTGCGGGACACTCTTGTGGGACACTCTTGTGGGACATTCTTAAGGGACACTCTTGTGAGACACTCTTGCGGGACACTGTTGCGGGACACTCTTGTGGGACACTCCTGTGGGACACTCATTTGGGACACTCTTGCGGGACACTCTTGTGGGACACTCTTGTAGGACACTCTTGTGGGACACTCTTGTGAGACACTATTGTGGGACACTCTTGTAGGACACTCTTAGAAGACACTCTTGTGGGACATTCTTGTAGGGCACTCTTGTAGGACACTCTTGTGGGACACTATTGTGGGACACTCTTGTAGGACACTCTTGTGAGACACTATTGTAGGACACTCTTGTGGGACACTCTTGTGAGACACTCTTGTGGGACACTCTTGTGGGACACTCTTGTGAGACACTCTTGTGGGACACTCTTGTGGGACACTGTTGCGTGACACTCTTGTAGGAAACTCTTGTGGGACACTCTCGTAGGACACTCTTGTAGGAAACTCTTGTGGGACACTCTTGTAGGACACTCTTGTGGGACACTCTTCTGGGACACTCTTGTAGGACACTCTTGTAGGACACTCTTGTGGGACACTCTTATAGGACACTCTTGTGGAACACTCTTGGGGGACACTCTTGTAGGACACTCTTGTGGGACACTCTCGTAGGACACTCTTGTGGGACACTCTTGTAGGACACTCTTGTGGGACACTCTTGTGAGACACTCTTGTGGGACACTCTTGTGGGACACTGTTATAGGACACTCTTGTAGGAAACTCTTGTGGGACACTCTTGTAAGACACTCTTTGTGGGGCACTCTTATAGGACACTCTTGTGGGTCAATCTTGTAGGAAACTCTTGTGGGACACTCTTGTAGGACACTCTTGTGGGACACTCATATAGGCCACTGTTGTGGAAAACTCTTGTGGGACAATCTTGTAGGACACTCTTGTGGGTCACTCTTGCAGGAAACTCTTGCGGGGCACTGTTTCGGGACACTCTTGTAGGACACTCTTGCGGGACACTCTTCTGGGACACTCTTGTGGGACACTCTTGTAGGACACTCTTGTAGGAAACTCTTGGGGGGGACTGTTTTGGGACACTCTTGTAGGACACTCTTGCGGGACACTCTTGTAGGACACTCTTGTGGGACACTCTTGTAGGACACTCTTGCGGGCCACTCTTACGGGGCACTCTTGTGGGACACTCTTGTGGGACACTCTTGTGGGGCACTCGACTCTCTTGTGGGGCACTCTTGAGGGTCACTCTTGCGCGACACTCTTGTAGGACACTCTTTGTGGGACACTCTCAAAAGCACTCTTGTGGGTCACTCTTACGGGACACTCTTGTCGGACATTCTTGTGGGACAGTCTTGTGACACACTCTTGTAGGACACTCTTGTGGGTCACTCTTACAGGACACTCTTGTGGGACACTCTTGTAGGACACTCTTGTAGGACACTCTTGTGGGACACTCTTGTGGGACACTCTTGTGTGACACTCTTGTAGGAAACTCTTGTGGGACACTCTTGTAGGACACTCTTGTGGGGCACTCTTATAGGACACTCTTGTGGGACACTCTTAAGGGACACTCTTGTGAGACACTCTTGTGGGACACGGTTGCGGGACACTCTTGTGGAACACTCTTGTGGGACACTCTTGTGGGACACTCGTGTCGCGACACGGTCTGCACACTAGAAGCAGTCACGCGAGCGTTTCGTACGAGACTTCCTCCAAAAGTCACGCTTCGAGGCTGCAAGACGAGCGTTTCGTACGAGACTTCCTCCTAAAGTCACGCGTCAAGTCTCCAAAACGGAGCGTTTCGTACGAGACTTCCTCCAAAAGTCACACGTCAAGTCTCCAAAACGAGCGTTTCGTACGAGACTTCCTCCAAAAGTCACGTGTCAACTCTCCAAAACGAGCGTTTCGTACGAGACTTCCTCAAATACTCACGTGTCAAAGTCTCCAAAACGAGCGTTTCGTACGAGACTTCCTCCAAAAGTCAAGCGGAAACACCCATCGGAGCACACACATCACGCAGCCCTGCCAAGCAGTTTCGCGATTCCAGCCCCTCCAAACAACACCCGCTCACACGCCAATCCCAATGAGACAACGACAGTCACCTCTACCACAACTCGCAACCTCACGATTCCCTGCGCCTGCCACGCATCTTTCCGCGTCCACACGTCTAACGCGCGCAAAGTACTGCGCCTGCCACGCAATGTCACCTCCGTCACACCTCGCAACCTCACGATTCCCTGCGCCTGCCACGAAAATCACACTACCATGCCTCAAAACCCGCACAAAGTACTGCGCCTGCCGCGAAAAGTGACAATATCATCTCATGTGAGCTTCAACAAAATTTGCACCACACCACACGTTTGGAATGATTTCGATCCGTTCTGAGCACACTCCCATCCACCAAAATCGCCACTTCAGCTGAGACTTGTCACGAAAACAGAGCTTCGATGCCACACCCTGAAACGCAAATCCCAATGGCACGGCCACATCCAACACCCCAAAAACACGACTCTCCAAATGCTAATCCCAATGGAACTGCGTAGCAAACTGAGGATCTCACAAAACGCTGCGCCTGTGCAGCGAAATGCATCACGCTTCTTGCGCGACATGTCATTTTCATGCAAATCACAATGGAATAGCGTCGCAAACTGACACGTGACACATCCATGAAAAGTCACTTGCAAAAGCTTCCCCCAATGGCAGCGCCTTAGCGCTCTACTGCGAACGGTTGCGAACGGTTGCCAACGGTTGCCAACGGTTGCGAACATAGAAGCAACGGGTCGCGAACAAAGCTCTACCCCCAGACCCCCAAGAGTTAAACGAGAACCCTTCGCTACGCATTCGGGAAAAAAGCAATCAAAAATATGCAAATTGACTCCTTGGTGTATAGTTGCAAGGCCAGCTAAGTACTTAGCTAAGTACTTAGCTAACTATGTTAATTTTGAAGCTAAACATTTAACATTAGTTAACATAATTAGCATTTTTCAGGCTAAGCACTTAACATAATTATGTTGCAGTAGTGACTTTAGCTAATTTTTAGCTAAACAGGGGTTAACCTTTAAAAAAATAGAAACTTTATATCTGGTTAACAGATTCTTAAGATAAACTTAAAAACTATCTAGGTAGCTACTAACAAACTATTGATAAACAGCATAAACCACTAGCAAACCCCAGATCATCCAAGTACTAACATTACTACCACTACCACTACCACTACCACTACTTCTACTACTACGACTACTACTACTAGTACTACTACTTCTACTTCTACTTCTACTACTACTACTACTTCTACTACCACTACCGCCACTACTACTACTGCTACTACTACTACTACCACTACTACTACTACTACTACTACTTCTACTACCAGTACTACCACTACCACTACCACTACTACTACTACTACTACTACGACTACGACTACTACTACTACTACTACTACGACGCACCAGCACCAGCACCAGCACCAGCACCAGCACCAGCACCAGCACCAGCACCAGCACCAGCACCAGCACCAGCACCACCACCACGACCACGACGACGACGACGACGACGACGACGACGACGACGACGACGACGACGACGACGACGACGACGACGACGACGACGACGACGACAACGACAACGACAACGACAACGACAACGACAACGACAACGACAACGACAACGACAACGACCAAGACTACGAATACGACTGCTACTATACCACGACTACGAATTTCGACTACCACGACTACGAATGCGACTGCGACTACGACACCACTACCACGACTACGAATACGACTGCTACTACTACTGCTACGACTGCTATTACGACGACTGCTAGTATAATGCTAGCACTAGTACTAAACACTACCACTACTGGTAGAAGATGGTCTAAGTACTTGTTGGGTGGTTGCTTTGTTTGTACATTGTTGTTGTTGTGCTAAAAATTGGGGATGATTGATCCCACTGAGACTATTTCTGGAATGG